CTTACATACTGCCCCCCCCAGCTCTTAAAGCACTCTCTGGGTGGTTTACAATTTCATTATACAGGCTACACATTGCCGCCGCCCCCCACCAAGCTATCAGGGCGCTCCGTTTATTCACCTCTGAAAGATGGAAAGCTGTCAATCTTGAACCGGCTACCTGAGCCCCATCAGGATTGAACGCAGGAATTCACCTCTGAAAGATGGAAAGCTGTCAACCTTGAACCGGTTACCTGAGCCCCATTGGGATTATACGCAGGACCTCAGCAGAGTCTTGACCGCAGGACTGCAGTTTACCCACTGTGCCACATGTACAAGTGGTGTAGAGGTTGGCGTGCACAGGAAAGCTATTCTCTACATCCACCGGGCCCACTATTTCTTTACACATTTTGAGCCTGCAATTCTGTTTTCTAAGTCAAGTCTCATGTAGAACGACAGATGTGGAAGTCAGCTCTGGATCTGGGGCAGGAAACTAGCACCTCCCAAAAATGTTCGCATAGGTTTGGGTGGGGGGGACAAAGGTCTGCATAGTCAAAGCTATGGCTTTTCCAGTAGTGATGTACGGAAATGAGAGCTGGACCATAAAGGCTGACCGCTGAAGAATGGATGCTTTTCAATTGTGGTGCTGGAGGAGGCTCTTGAGAGTCCCCTGGACTGCAAGGAGAACAAACCTATCCATTCTGAAGGAAATCAACCATGAGTGCTCACTGGAAGCACAGATCCTGAAGCTGAGGCTCCAGTACTTTGGCCATCTCATAAGAAGAGAAGACTCCCTGGAAAAGACTCTGATGTTGGGAAAGTGTGAAGGCAAGAGGAGAAGAAGGGGACGACAGAGGATGAGATGGATGGACAGGGTCACCGAAGCGACCAACATGACTTGGACCCAACTCCGGGAGGCAGTGGAAGACAGGAGGGTCTGGCGTGCTCTGGTCCATGGGGTCACGAAGAGTCGGACACAACGTAAGGACTAAACAACAACAACAGGGGGGAGGGAACCAGGAACTGGGTTTTGCAGTCTGAAACTGCTCCCCTTTCCGGGATCCTGGCTCAGGGAAAAGCGCCCATCCTGCTCCAAGCCCTTAGCCTCTCCACTGAGAGCCAGTTGCTACTTAAGGCGACAGCTCGCTTGAATTGTGGCCGTTTGTGCTGTGGGCTTCCATAACTCATCTCGAGCTTTTTATAACCTCCTAAGCACCCTTGCTCAGTATGAACAGCCCACCATGAGTTATGGATTGATTTTATTTTTTAAAAAAAATTCTTCGGAAGCAGAGAAGGGGGCTTCTGCATCTAAAGGACACGGGAAGGAAGAAGGATGTAGCCAGCCGCACCAATAGACGTCCACGTTCCGTCTCGGGGAATCCCCCAGCTTTTCAAGGAAAGTGGTTTATTCCGTTATCCCTGCCACCACGATGACATATGGTGCGGTGTGGCCGTTAAAATGTTTAATTAGTTCCCAGGAGATCTATCTTGAAATCACCATTTGCTCACTCGTAAAGCTTACTGGGTAACTTTGGGCCAGCCATCCTTTCTCTCTCCCTGCTCTACCTTGCTGAGTTGTTGCAAAGGTAAATCAAGGGGAGGGAGAACCATGACCTTAGCAGACGATGGGCGAGGGAGGAGTGTAACAAACAAGCAAACAACCTATTGTCATTTAGTCGTGTCCGACTCTTCGTGACCCCATGGACCAGAGCATGCCAGGCCCTCCTGTCTTCCACGGCCTCCCGGAGTTGGGTCAAAGTCATGTTGGTCGCTTCAATGACACCGTCCAGCCATCTTGCCCTCTGACATCCTCTTCTCTTGCCTTCACACTTTCCCAATATCAGGGTCTTTTCCAGAAAGTCTTCTCATGAGATGGCCAAAGTACTGGAGCCTCAGCTTCAGGATCTGTCCTTCCAGTGAGCACTCAGGGTTGATTTCCTTTAGAACTGATAGGTTTGTTCTCCTTGCAGTCCAGGGCACTCTCAAGAGCCTCCTCCAGCACCGCAATTCAAAAGCATCACTTCTTCAGCAGTCAGTCTTCTTCATGGCCCAGTTCTCACTTCCATACACCACTAACACAACCTATGCATCTGTGCAAAAGAGCTGGTTTTGCATGCCACGGGGTTGCCTCTGTCTGAATTCTCTGGTTTGGGGTTTTGCAATCTGACTTTCACTTTCTTAAGCAGTGCGTTGTGTGTCTCGGTCCGTGTACACCTACACCGCATGGCCAAAATGTGGGCCTCTAACCTCTCACTCTTCTGAGAAAAAGGCTCATCAGTCTCCATCATCTTTCACTACAGAGTCATCACGCAGAGGACTGCTCTACTGGACTGCATCTGCTGTGGGGAAATGTTTCTTGTTTGCTAATGTTGTGAATAGAAGAGATGGGCAGGAAGGAACGTGTATCCACCAAAGGACTGCTCTACTGGACTGCATCTGCTGTGGTGTGTGTGTGTGTGTGTGTGTGTGTGTGTGTGTGTGTATAGAACGCTCCCCTCGGAGTAACACAACGGGGCATCCACTTGGCCACCCTGAGCCGCTTGGCACCCCGCAGTGTCTTCTCCTTCTTTCCAGGGAGGAGGCGCTGCGGAACTGGATTAATTACCGTTTTGCTGCAAATGAAATTAAGCAGCCCTGATCGTTAGGTTATTGATGAGGCAAACGAGATTAGGCAGCACGCTGTCAATTGGCGGCTGCACCAAGAACTGGATTAAGGGAGCGGTGATTAGTCAGCAGGGCCGCGGGTCGAAGTGGGAGGAGCAGGAAGAGCGTTTGAGGGAGGGAGTCCTGGAATCAACAGGGCTGAAAAGGAACGGTGGTGCCTAGTGGTTGGAGCTGAGGAGAGAGGTGGGCGCTAGCCTGCTTCGCAGCTTGGCTTGCATCCCTTTTGCCTCCCGTGGCGGCAACAGCAGCCTCTTGGATGTTCCTCATGAACGCGCCATACATATTATCTCCTCCTGTTGGGCAGGAGAGCTGCTTCTGCCGGCGCCGGGCTCCCTCGACTCTCTCCCTATAACCTCGGGTGTGCTGGAGAAACCTCTCCCTCCCATTGCTAGCACCGAAGCCAAAATTCAGCTGGCCAGCCTAGTCGGCTTCTGTACTTGAATGGGGAATGGAGGGTGCCCTTTGAGTCCTCCCCCTTGCATCAAAATGTCTCTGAGCGATTCCGCTTGACGGGATGAGGGCTGGCCTTGCCAACTCTTCTCAACCGCACCGTCGTTGGGGCTTCGGAATGCGACGTTCTTGTGGACTGCAGTTCCCAGAATCCTCCGGCTGGCATGGCTCTAAAGCAGTGGTGTCCGAACCTTAGCCCTCTAGATGTTCTTGGACTTCAACTCCCAGAAATCCTGGCCAGCAGAGGTGGTGGTGAAGGCTTCTGGGAGCTGTAGTCTAAGAACATCTGGAGGGCCAAGGTTGGGGACCACTGTAGGATCCCACTGTGTGGTCTTCTTCCCTCTCTTCCCCCCCACCCCATTCGCAGGGGTGCAAGAGGCCCGTCACAACAGAGGGTGGGGACTCAGATTTCAGGGATAGGTTATGCTTCTGCCTCGGAAGGGTAGCCCTGCCATTACAGGAGCTCTCCAAGGTGCTGAAATCCTCTCCCTACAGCTTTAGCACCTTGGAGAGCTGCTTAAAGAAAGGCGACCGCTCAGAGCAGGTTCATGCTGTGAATTCACAGTAGCACCTTGGAGAGCTGCTTAAAGAAAGGTGGCCGCTCAGAGCAGGTTCACCGCTGCTGTGAATTCACAATTGCCAGACCCTGTAAAGTAGAGGCCAGTGCCCACGGGTTACTCCCAGAGTAACTGCACACCTTCTGGGTATGATGCCAGCTCAACACGAAAGAGGTGTGGCACCTTTTTTTTTTGTCAGCAGGAACATCTGTCTCTTGTAAGGTGTGGGGGAAAAAAGCCAAACCTAAGATACTGCAGATGTGACTGATAATGCTGCCATGCGCTGCTTTTGTTCCTCCATGTATTTGCCACATTTTATATTCCACGTTTCTCCGGATGTCCTGATGGGAGGGATCTTTAATTGTCCCCGTCGCCCTCCAAGGATCCGTCGCTGAAGTGGCTGGTTTTCCTTCGGTGTAGCTCAAGGCCTGTCATGTGACATCTGGCGAGAAGGCGCCCCCTGTGGTGGCACATGGGAGGTGTGGTTGGTGGCCAGCCTCGCAGTCAGTTTGGCACCAAATCAGAACTTGTCGTTTGAAGGTTGTTTGTGTGCATGTCGTTTGAAGGTCGTTTGTTCTGTTTCCCATTTTACCAGTGGTACTTTATTGTTCTGGGGTTGTCTTCTGAGGATTTTAGTCCCTGCCTACTTGTTGTTCACCGTGCGGATATCGCTTTGGTAAAGGAACAGTTTATAAAGAAATAGCTGACAAACTGGCAGGCAGGCAGGCAGGCAGCAAGAGGGGGGAAAGAGAGATGGACAGAGTCGGGGGGAAAGAGGGGGGGAATGCCAGGATAGTGCACCAGTTTGGACGGATGGACAGACAGATTTGCTCCCAGGTACAGAAGAAAGAAAGGAAGTCAAGAAGAAAAGAAATGGGGTGAATTAAGACAGATGTGAAGGAGCAATAAATAGGAAGAGAAGAGGATGGATGGATGGATGGATGGATGGATGGATGGATGGATGGATGGATGGATGGATGGATGGATGGATGGATGGATGGATGGATAGATAGATAGATAGATAGATAGATAGATAGATAGATAGATAGATAGATAGGAAGGAGTGAAGAAGTTGATAATAGGTGGATAGACAGAGTGGATAGGAAGGCTGGATAAACGGACAGAACTGGCGGACAGGTAGAGCATAGAGAGACAGATAAATAGATCCCGATGCCAAGATGGAAACCCACATGAAATTAAGTCAAGTTGAGCCTTGCTGCCCATCATCATCTCCCTTTCACCGGGATTTTCCTTGCTTCCCCCAACCCCCCAGGTCAACCTCTTCTCTGACCTCTTTCTTTCTCTTTCTCCTTCTCTCTCCTTCCCCACTGCCTTCCGCCTTGCTTCCGACAGGACCAGGGGACGGTCGGGGTCATTTTCAACGTGGGCACAGATGACATCACCATCGAGGAGAGCAACGCCATGGTGAACGACGGCAAATACCACGTGGTGCGCTTCACCCGGAGTGGCGGCAACGCGACGCTGCAGGTGGACAACTGGCCCATCAATGAACGATATCCTGCAGGTAGGGACCGGGAGGCGACGCCTGCCAGACCGCTCGCCCCCCGTCTCCCCCAGACGCGCTGTGGATGTCGGAACCACCCTGGCCCTCTGATTGCTCCCACCACCACAGGGATGTGGTGCCATTGCCGAGGCAGGCACCATGCGCTTAGCGCCAGCCTCGCCCTGACTTTCCAAGCAGCCCTCATTTCATTTCCTAGCACAGAGGAAAGGACTAGGAGAGGAGGGACGAGCAGGGAGGGAGAACCTAGAAAGACCCCAAAACAGAGGATTTAAGAAACGGAGAAGACCTGCTTCTGGCTGGTTTTTTTGTTTGTTTGTTTGTTTTGTTTTTGTTTTTTGCTCCTCTACCTCGGCTCTGACTTCTAGCAGCACTTCAGGGTCTCGGGCAGAAGAAAGCCTTTCCTTTTAGCCGTTGGCTAATCCCTTCGTTCCAGTGGCTAGAGCTGGGACTTCCTTTAGGCCAAGCTGGGGATCTCCCACAATGCTATGTCCCCTCTCCTGCAGAGAGAGGAGGGCCGCCGTGGTGTAAAGCATGGCACCAAGTCCTTGTGACCCACGGTGGCTTCCTCTCTGGCAGTAGCCATCTCGCGTCAAAGGTGGAGGTCTTTCCTTATCACTTCTCAGTGGATCCCTTAAACATGAGATGTTTTTTGGGGGGGTCAAACCTGCAGCCCTTATGCAGCGTAACCTATGTTTCTCCTCCAAGGAAGTCTCTTAAGGACAGCCCCCCCCCCGTTGTTTTTTTTTTTTTTGGTCCAGTTAATTCATCAGACAGCGTTTACACAGCATTACATCTAGGAGATCTTGCATCGCAAGAGAGAGTTGCACTCCCAGTTCAGCAAGCCTGCCTTTCCATAAGGCCAGTCCAGATATCAGGAAGGCAGAAGAGGAGCAGACATCCCGTTGCGATGCAGGTGTGTGGGTGTAGGAATGAGGAAAAATAATGGCAGGTGAGATAGACAGGCATAGGCGTATCTGTCGACATGCATACATAGGCATGCGCGTGCAATGGATGAGCAGAAGAATCAAAAGAACCTGGCACAGATCTGGATTGAGGTTGAGCTAGACTACATGTCTCATAATCCCCAGGCAGCCTTGCTCGGAATGGGCAGGTTGGGATAAAGCCGGCACAAGGAAAACCTGATTGGCACTGAGCTCTCCTTTCCCCCCATTTCACCAAGTGGGTGAAAACGTGGGAGGGCAAAGGAGAAGAGCAGAGAAGCGAGTCCGTTGTTCGGACCTGGCAGCCCCATCTTCCTCGTCTGGGGGCCCCGAGGCTGGCCTCTGCTGGGGGAGGCTCAGGAAGAGGAGCCATTGTTGTAGAGATATTTTAGATAGGGGGCTTGGAGGTTTTTCTCCTGCCAACCTAGCCGTTCGAAAAGCATGTAAAAATGCGAGTTGATAAATAGGGACCACCTCGGTGGGAAGGTCCGTGTCTAGTCGCGCTGGCCACATGACCATGGAAACTGTCTACGGACAAACGCTGGCTCTATGGCTTGGAAACGGAGATGAGCACCGCCCCCTACTGGACTCAATGTCAAGGGGAACCTTTGCCTTTACCTTGGGAGTTTTTAGGCATGAGCACAAGGAGCCTCATGGCGCAGTGGTTAAACTGCTGTACTGCAGCCCAAACTGTGCTCACGGGCCAGGGTTCAATCCCACCGAGCCGGCTCAAGGTTGACTCAGCCTTCCATCCTTCTGAGGTTGGTAAAATGAGTGCCCAGCTTGTTTTGGGGGCAGTGGGACAAGGTGTAGCCTGCGTAATTAACTTGTAAACCCCCCAGAGAGTGCTTGAAGCACTATGGGGCAGTATATAAGCAGCTTGCTTTTGCTTTGCTTTTGGCTTTAGCTTAATGTCACAGAGAACTGAGATCGGACCCCTGCCTGGCCCAGAACACATAGTAGAATCATACTTAGCCTTTTTTCTTAACTTGAGATAGTCGGGGAGGGGACATTTCCCCCCTGCCCTTGACAATAAACTCCGTGAGGTCAGCCACAGGCTCCCATTCCAGAGAGGAGAAACTGATGCATGGGAGAAGGATACGTCCCCTCGAGTATTTGTCCAAAGCTGAGCAGAAAATTGAGTCAGTGGCACTTGAATCCGTTGTGTTTTTTTTTTACTTCCCTCTTTTTAAAAAAAAAAAAATCTCTCCCCCCCCCCCGAACCCTCCTTGTGATGAGAGCCCTTGACATTCTTTCAGCAGCTGGCATTTTTCTGCGATCACATAATTTTTTACAGTCCTTTTCAGTCCGGAAAGTGCTTTCGACGCATCTCATTCTCATCTCCTTTATTCTTTGAAAAGGTTGGCAATTGCAGAAAAGGTCCAGAGTGGAGATGCCAGGAGATGGAGGGGAGGGCACAAGTGGGCCACAGAGTGGTTGGCCGGGGATTTGGGGGGCGGTGGCGGCGGGCGGCAGCGTGAAGGAGATGGGTGGGCTGGGGTGGAGGACACTGGCGAGGAAAGCCTAGGAGGGACCGACCGGAGGGAGGAATTTTGGTAGAGAAAGCACAGGGGCAGAAAGCTGACGGGTAAAGCCAAAGATTGGAGCTCTTTCTGCTCCCATCTGACTAGGTAGCGGCCACCCCCACCCACCCCTGGCCAGGCTCCCAGGAGAACTACCCCCAGGGCTGGAAAAACTGGGCCGGCGGGCTTGCAATCAGAGATCAGAGGCTGGTTCCGACCTCCACTGAGCCACGGGCTTGTGGCTATGGCTGGGAGACCCTGAAATTTGTGGCTGCATTTGTGCCTGAGGATGCCACCCAGCTGGGAGGGCCTTCTGCCAAGATCGGGTATCCTCCACCATGAGATGGCTGAGTCACACACACACAGTGCGTCGGCTTCTCCCCAGGACCCAGCGGGAGAAACGTGGAAAGGGGGTTGGAGAAGGGGAAGGGGAAGGGGGGGGAGGGCGAAACCTAATCAAGGTCATTAGTGCCGCAGGCAGGCAAAGCAAGGGAGAGCGCCTGGCCCCGCCTGGGATCCGCCAGCCGCTTTGATCCACCTCCCCTCCGTTCCCCTTCCTCCGTGCCTCTCCTCGCTCTGCCATCCCGCTGGCCTGATCCTGTAGTCTCTTTGATGCCCCCGTGCTGCAGAGAGAGCCAAGCTGCATCGTCGGAACTCGGGCCTTTGCGTAGCCACATCGGTGCCACCGTACCCAGCCTTGTGCCAGGGGGCGCGAACCCCCGCATGTGCATCCACTCTTAGAGCTTCTTCAGGTCCTGAAAGAGCAGCAAGGCACGTTCCTGGGTCCAACCGGGGGCACAGGTTTGGCCTCAGTGCCTCCCTCCCCCTGCGGTTGCACTGGCATTGCAAGCTGGGACTTTTGGGGGCATTTCCAGGCAGTGGCATTTCACCCAAGATCTGTTTCTTCCGTTGACATAGTTCCTGCCTAGAGGCACCGCCACTTAGAGCGCTTCCTGGCCTCTGGATCCCAGTGGACTATTCTTTCAGCCGAAAAGCTAGCTTTTATCAACGAGGACGTTGCCACCCGACTGCGCAGAAGGCCAGCTGGTGGCATGCTGGCGGTGTAAAGCCGCTTAATTTGCCTACCCTTCTGCTGTCGTCTTCGCTTGCTGCAGTTTGCCAGTAACAAAGTGAGAGAATCAAGTCACTGCGTGGCAAAAAGGATTGTCCACATGCATCAGAAATCTCCCGAGGATGTCTTACAAAGTGGCCGTCTTGTACGTTGTCAGTCAGGACCAGAAGACCCGCTTTTTTCGTCAGAAACAAAACTCGTACAAGGTTTGTGTGTTGCAAGACAGACAGACAATTGTATAAACCTGGACTCGCAAAGGCCAGGGTGCATCGCGCGACTCATTCCACAGAACTGGTGAAACGGGATATCCCGCGAGGTGTCCAGGACAAACGGATTCTTGGCTTTTGACATTCCCCTGTTTGTGCACTGGCTGGTGGGGCTTGCAAGGAAAGGGAGCTGGGCGCGTCAAGGCAGAACCCCTTGATGAGCTCGTTCCTGGTTTTGTGTTGATGTACTCTCTCAAGGGCCAACTGGCAAAAAAGGGTGACTGCCTGTTCAACACCGAGCATGTTCGGGGCTGTGTGGGGTCTCCAGACAGGCCAGCGCCCCAGAAAGCGCTATGGTTGCGTTGACGCAAAGAGAGAAGCAATCACAACCTCATCCTCAGAGGGGCTTCGCTCAAGAAGACTCCGCTTCCATGTTCAGGAGGAGGAAGTGTAAGGCTGCAACCAGTGGTTTAAAAACATACACAGCACACACACACACACACACAAATGTTTTTTCTCTGTGTGTTTTTCAAGATCTCTCCCTATGGCACCGAGTGCCTTCCTCAAATCACATGTTGCTGCCTGCCTTCATTTCGTTGGAGATTGACAAGCAGCTGGCGCGCGTGGATCTATTCCCAGCCCTTTTGTGAGAAATGCGGGAGGAGCAGCCACCGAGCACCGGAAGGGCTGGGGAGCAAATTTATTCTTGTCCTCTCCTTTCCGTGGCACCTTTATTTTTAAGAACGCTTTATGTGTCTCTTCTCTTGATGGCTTTGCGACGAAACGAGACTGGCTTTTACCTTTAAAAGATGCCTTTTCTAAAAATGCAAACCGTGTCAGCTGGAGATAATTTTTAAAATTGAAAACAAAAGGTGGCGGTTGATCTGGGGGTCGCAAAATATCTTTGCATTGATGCTGCTTCATGTTCGAAGAAGAGTGGGGGAAAGGATGCCGTGGAGCCAAAACGATGGCCAACTTCAGCTCTTGGGGTAATAAATAGGACCGGATAGGATGAGAGCCTTAATGGGGAAGAGGGGGGCACACGGTCCTGAGCAACGTTCTCTCTAAGCTGCGAGCTGCATGGCGTTATGTGGGTGCCACTTACCTGCAGTTTGTGTTGCCGCTTATTTGGGTCCGATTGCCGCCAGAACTTTACATGCGCAGAGCGGGGTTTCCGCTCAGCGCTGATGGAAAATTAGAGGAAGCGTTGGTCCTCCGTTTTGGGAAACTGTCGATTTGATTCCACAGTCCTTATCTA